CAAGAGTTGACAGGTCTTACCATGGTGGCTGCTGCTTGTTCTAGCTTCACGAGGAATCACGGGTTTAACCTGAGTGAGGCCTGTAAACCGATGCAAAATGCCCCTCCCCGCCGCCAGACTGCACCCAAACTGAGATTCAGGGACGATTCGGTAATCATTGAGGATAGCCCATTTCCTCCTTCTAGAAGGTCTTTGGATGAAGTTGAAGTTATCACAGAAAGCTCATTAGAATGATCATATTGGGCAAAATACTATCCATCGCTCTCATCATCATCATCGTAACAATGATTACGACACCGGTTGTCTCCTGGCTGGAAATAGCCGTTTTTGCGAGCGAATTTAGCATATGTAGTCGCCATTCGATTGAACAACTCATCCACTTCAGCCTCGGACATACCTGAAGTGAAGTTTCCTTACTTATAGTACCTCTGGAACTCCCATTTGAACTTCAGAAATACACTTACCCACTCCACAGGCAATATTTAGATATCCGCCGTGCTGTTCATTTGAATGTGAGCCGAAGTTCACAAATTCGCAACCTTCAATGGTGGTTATGTCGTTCGTAGAAACAACGGCGCTGGAAAATGAGTTGTAGGCAGACAGAATTGGTTCGCTCATTCTTTCCCCACAAGCTCTATAGGGCTGTTTTACAGTGTTTATCCATCACCAGTTGGATCGCCCCAGCTTCGTCGGGCGATCCTCGCTCTCCGTGTGCAGTGAGGATTCATTTGACTTTTTCGAAACAGGGATTCACCAGAAAAAATATTTTCTCGGAAATCGCCAAACTTAGCCATTTCATTCCTTGTATGTACCTCTCCGCCCCTTTCCGGAAGGCACAGGGCACATCGTCGTTGGGAATTCTCCAACAAGGGTGGGGGGAGGGCGTAGTTGGCCGCTACGGGTGGTGGTCGTATTTTCCTCTAAGAGAAATTTACGGTGTTGGGAAAAATTCCTCCATTGATGATTTCCGCGGTTTGCCTGTTTCACATACCCACCCCCCGCTCGACACCTTGATCGTATCAGAGGAGGGAACCAGCGAGGCTCGTATGGCGCTTCTCGGCGACGGAGAGGGGGGGAAGGGACGGGGGGAGGGAAGAAGGCGGGGGGTTTTGTGCACTTTCCTACTCCATCGACGTGTATCTAGATAGCCTATTCTCGAACTGACAGGTTTTACCGTGATGGCATGACGAGCTTGCTCCAGCTTCACAAGAGTTCACAGGTTCAGAGGAGTGAGACTTGATAGTACAAAAGACCTTCCCCATTGCCGAACTGCGCCGGCTCGTATCAAGCACCTCCCAAGGGAGAGAGGGGGTGGGGGAGCGGGTCGCACGGACACGACCAAAATCCCCAACCAGGATGTGCCCCGACAGCCCTCAAATTTTGGCTTTGATGCTGGTCCTGGCTTGATGAGAGCTTGCTCTACTGGAACATGTAATAGCCCTTATGGTTAGTGTGGTGTTTGGTTTTGGCATCGACCAACGAAATTTCGCAGCGACCGCTACCCAATCGGTGCACGGCTTCGTCACCGTGGCTGTCTCTCCTCTGATTCATTTGCATCCAGTTCCAAACCTTGGCATATTTTCTGACTCCCTTGCAGGCATCTATAGAACTGCTGTATCCTCGAGCCGCCCGCTTGAGGCAACGCCCCGCCCATTGCGGGCGGGTTCTGGCACAACTTACATGTGCTCCATGCATTTTGACCTATGCTCCATCCACATCAAACTTGACCAGTCCCTAGAGCGATTATTCCTTTTCCCGTCCCATATAGGTCCCATCTTCTGGGTGCTCAGATTAACACAGAACCCAGACAACTTCCTGGGTCTATATATAGACATATGCATTCTTCTCATGGGATATTGATATTTCCGGGGTGTGGTTCGACTTGGTACCCAGGGGCATGATTCGACTTGATGGGGGCGCCGGTCCCCATCGATCATTGCCGATGCCTCCTATGAAGACCTCTTCATTCTCGTGAGGCTGTACAGTAGCAGGAGCTTCGTTTACAATTGAAAAGATTTTGTAGGTCTCAACAAGGTGAAACGTAATCCAACAGGAACTACCAGAAGAGGCTAGCGATAGCTCAAAACGCCCACATGAACCGAGAGCGTCTTACGTAGGCACTGTATTTCTCTGGGAAGAGGGCACTATAGCCATCTAAGGCAGCCCCTGTAGGAAAACACACAATGTCTATCTCACGTTCTACCGTTGGGGTAATTTTTCTGCAAAATACGACCACATGCTGAAAAGTTCTTCCTCTGGATACGCTCTCCCCCGCACCCTTTTCTCCAATCCTACCTGCCATCTTTCTGAATTTTTCCAGATTCGTACCACTTCTCCGTAGACTTCTTCTCAAGAATTTTGAGGGAGGGGGATACAGGGCACGCTCAATGCGGGCGTGTCCCCCTCTTGTCAGCCGCTGGCTCTCGTTAATTATAATCTACCCTTCTTGAGGGGGTGGGGCTAGCATAGGTCGCGTGTGTCCTGAACATCTTGTCCCATGTTCTACCCTTCCCAATCCTGATTCAGCTTGCACAAGTTGCCTCTTCTGGTGAATATGAATTTTTGGCTGACAAACAAACAGATTGAGGAAGTTAAGGCAGGGATAATCGCTCCCACAAATGTTTTCAAGCTCACCGTGCACCAGTGATCCCTCGATTGAAAAGAATCGAGCCAAACAGCGATTGTTTCTCCGGTGGTATTGACGACAGGGTCATTGCTGAAAAACGGCTCTAAAAATGGTCATTTCGTGCTTAATTACGTGAAAACGGGAGAAGTGAGATGTGTTTCAGGTGGTTCTAAAATCGTTCGGCCTACTTCGAGAAAATGTTGCCAAACAACTCATAATCTTTAGCGAATAGTGAACGAATCCCAAGAACGCCAGCCATAAAAGGATAGCGATGAAAATAGCCCCTTACAAACAACTCGCCATTTTTCATGGGCGCTGAGGAGCGATAGTAGCTTTGGAAGGGCAACTAAAGAATTTCTTTTGCAAAACTACAATTACCATAATGGGAACAAAGGACATCGTCTAAGCTTTGAGGGAACGGAGCTCCGGGAAGGCGAGCCAGTTTTCAAGTACGGTAATTTTCTTTGGACGATGTTGGTCCCTGCTTGCACAAAGAGTCCTGTAAATGCCCCTTTCAACGTTGATAGTGCCCAATGAGACCAGCTTTCCTAGTCATTAACGTGAACGTAGTGAATTATCTCACTAATATGTTAGGTGCGACGTCATCTCCTAGAGGGCCACGGGGCCTCGGGGCGCTGTTCGGCGACGGGGGAGGGCATTTTGCACATTCGCAGCTTAGTTTCGGTTTACAAGTCTCACTCTGGTGAAACCTGTGAACTCTTGTGTAGCTGGAGCAAGCTCGTCCAGCCACCATGATAAAACCTGTCAACTCTCGTAAGGCTCTCTCGATGGCTCGACACGTCGATGGGAAGTGGCCAAAAGCAAAATGTCCCCCCCCCCCTCGCCGAACTGATCCGGGGTCTCGCCAAGGACGCAAGCGCTGCATCTTGAAGCTAGCGCGAGCGGTGCGGCATTCCAGCATTACGACCATATAGCCCCGTTCTCATGCACTTGAAAGAGGACAAAGCAGAATCCTGCTGCAGCTGCAGACCCATTCATCTCACACATGGCAAGGACCAGGATGCACACTCTTCAAAATCGTCCGCGGGACGGAAACTGTATAATGGCAAGTCGCGCCAATGATGGTCTCGTGTCGAATACTAGACTGAACTTTCCTTTGAGCCTATCAAAGCACTTGCAAACCTCTAGAACTGTCACATGGACTGCAATCCTTGGTTCAGTGAGTAGGCTAAAATCTGGTATGGTCTACCATTTACCGTCTCCGGAAATCGGGTATAAGGCCTGTTGGCCTGGGCTGGAGCAGATACGCGCAGCACTCAATATCGATGAGAAATGGGATGATCTCATTGAGAGCGTTCCAGGAGATCTTTCTGCATTTTCTCTTCACTAGCAAGCCTCTTGGTACTTGCTGAGCCATTTTT